TTTTTTTTTTTTTTTACTAGAGACGTAAAGTTTGCTATTTTGGAGCGAATAAGGATTGCTGTCCTGAGTTCTTCAGTTCTTTAAAAAGCAGGAGGATGGTGACTATTTAGGTGACTGTTTGCTAGCAATTTTTCACGAAATTTTTTGATTTTGATTTCAGGTTGTACTTGTTAATAAACCGGAAAACTTTTGAATTGATATTATTCCTGTTTGCAGCAATACAACATTCCTAGCTTAGTACAGCTTCAAAGTCAGTGATATGATCGCGCAGCGCTTCTAGTGTTATGTATGGAACCTTTGGAAGTCGACATGCGCGTGTGGACAGTGTTCTGACCCTCCAATTATCTACAGTTATTATTGAAAAAATTAAATGCTCTGATGTATGAGTTCAAAAAGTAAATAAAAAAAAGAAAAAATGAAGAACTTCCATCTGCGATGGGATTTGTTTTGTGGAATTAATATAAAAATACTTTTTATTGAATTTTTACAAAATTTCTTCAATGATCTTCTCATTATTTTTTTTCTTTTAATTTTTATCTTTTGATATACCCTTCCACACAAAGTGACTTTGTTCTTTGTTGCATTCATTCATTGTACCCACTGTTGTGCTTTATGACAGTAATGTGTGTTTTGCAAGTTGACAGTGGTTAGAGACTCATGTTCCTTTATTCCAGTCTTTTAATCATCTGTAAAATGAGTTATTGAAATTTGTATAATTTTTCATTGATCATTTTGACCGTTAAGTGTTTTCCTAATAATCAATAATAAAAATTCGAAATTGTCTGCCTATTTGAAAGAAACTTGAAAGCTTTGCTGTCACAAGCTGTACACTCCGTTAGTTTCTTAATGTGGAGTGGCTTGTCATTGGCAGCAATTGGTCAACCCTAACGTAATGCAGTTGGTCCCGTCGGGGTTTTTTAGTCTTTGCATAGCTTTGGTTGGGTGTAGAGAATTTGAAAGAGTGAAAGTGTTGGAAGAGCTTGTGGACCGATGGTAAGTTATGCTGGTTCTACAGTTTTAACCATAAAAACATTGAAACAGTTTTTAGGCGGGACGTTCCTGCTCACTCGGAGACTGGTAGGTGAGGGCGTTTTGTTCGGGTGATGATGTGTGACCCATAGTCTTTTTCTTGCAGCTATTCATTCTTTCACGTGTCCTGCACAGCTAGGACGGTTTATTACTACTAGGGTTCTTAGATGTCTCATGGGGCTTGATGATAATGTTGGGACCATGAAATTGGTCGCTTTGTCTCGATTTTACTGTTGTGCACTGCCGTATTTCTATTATGCATCCTGCACTGTTATCAGCAGCTTTTCGGGTGACTAATTTTCCTTGCGTCATCCAGCTAATTTTTGGTCCCCTCCTCGTCTGACCGATTCAACTGCTTTAAAATGACAGCCAAATAGGCCGACTTGCACTGAAATAAACTAAACACGTCAGAATGACAGGATCTCGTTAGGAACAAACTAGGTGTACCGCAACTTCTTCCTAAAAAATTCAGTGAAAGGCAGTTGCTCTTTCGAATGAGGCCTTCTGTGACTTGCAATGAGTGAGCCGTCCAGTTATGCTTTGTCAGTACTTCGGTTTGAAGAGCAATTATGTTCAGGAATCACTTTTTAAAACCCGCAAGCAATACTATTTCTAAATTGGCTTGCTATTTGTTACACGCCATTACTGTTACTCCAGTCAACAGAGCACTTTACACCAGTTGAATCAAGATTTGGTCGAAGATGATGAAATGACTATCGAGACAAGCGAAAACAAGAAGCCGTTTCACTCTACGGAAAATAATCATGTGTTGTCAGGGCGCCATTCATCCTCTAATAGTTCTCCTCCTTTTTATTTTTAGTAAATATTATATCAGCACTTTTGAGTGTTGGTTATGGAACAGGTGACGTTAACCTTTAAAGCCACTGCTGCTTTAATCCTGTCGTCTTCATTTTCTATTGCGTAATTCCGTCTTAATTGTCTTCCGTCTTAATTGTTACCATACACCCAGTCGTTCATCCTTGCCAATAAAACTTTTCGGAACAAGATTGTTCTGGGAATAAGATGCAGCAAGAAAGAGCCAGTTTTAAACCACGGCAAACCATACAGACCCATCACCTCGGCCCATCAATCAAACACTTCCATTCGCGGCAACAATCAGTTAAATTACAAAATGAGGCTCCGAAAAGCTAAAAATGCTCAACCTTTATGGATAATGCAGAAATAAAAAAGAAGTCATGCTTTAAACATCTATTCCTTTGCAGGCAAACTGTGAATAAACCGACAAAAATACGTTCAAGGAAACGGCCCTTAAGGGCCAAGTATCACAACAGCACGACTCCCTTAATTTGTACACACAATTACGTAAAAAAGAAGTACCATGAACAGCAGGACTTATTGAGAAAAAACAGGGTCGCCGCCTTGGAATCTCTCAAAATTACTCCTTTTATCTTCCCATTAATGAGTAAAAATAATCACTGGAATTCAGAAGACTTTAAGGAAGATCCTCTTAAGACCACAGTTACAACCAGAAATTTCCCTAATGCTCAATCCTGCTGTTTGAACAAAAATACTAATAATATTATGAACTAACGTTCGAAACTACATAAAACGTGTTACCCAAACCAACCCTTCAAACAATTTCCCATCACGTAGGAAACTGCTAAAAAAAAAAAAAAAAAAGAAATCACTGGAACAAATCTAAAGATATTAATAATGCAACAGAAAAAAAAAAGTTAAAGGGTCATAAAGAAAACAACGAAAAATGAGCAGCAAATACCAACATTAATATCACAACACAACAAAATAAAAGGCACCCAGCTTAAACCACCGGGGCTCCAAACTGGGTTCAAAATTAAGAGAAAGAAC